TAATGTATGGTGATTAACATAATAAAAATAAACACTGAAAAAAAAGTTTCTAGATGTTGCCAAGTTTAAATGATTATAATTTAATGACTTTCTAAAACAGCTAAATGACCCTTGTACTTCTATATTTAATATTAACTTTGAGATGCCATATACCTGCCTTACTCTGGGCCTAGGTAAGTACAAGACAATAAAGTCAAAGCATTATAGAGCTGGAAGGGATTTCAACCCCTTACTTTACAGATAAGAAAACTGAGACCCAGTGAGGTGAAGTAACTTGCCCAGGTTGTCATATTAACTATGTCTTTTTCCTCCAACACAGAAAGTCATGATAATTCTGTACTCGGTGGAACATATTTCTTCCCCATTACCTTCACTAGTAATGTAATAGGAAGCTATTGCTAAACCCCAACGTGCATCTCTCTGTGGCGCACTATTTAGAATCAGTCCAGTCATTAGTATTACAGGGAGTTTTCATACATTATCTAAAAGACTTATTTTTTGCACAAAAAAAATTTCCATTATTTTAACACTTCACTCCTTTTATCTTCCTAGTTTAAATGCCTTGTTGACTGTAAAGTACCTGGTGACAATTTGCTCTTCCTTGTAATAACCTAGCACAATCTTATAGTCTTACTTTAGCTTCTCAGATTAAAGGTATGAGACTGTGTTGAATGGTCCTCCTTTGATTCTGCAGTTATACAAAAGTTATATAAAAAGTCAGTAACACAAACAGGTCTTTTAACCTGTTTACATATTACATGAATAATCAGGCAATCATCCTAAGGTTTTTTCCACATGGTACTAAATTTTCAAATTATGAGACATTTGAACGATTCACATAAGAAAATAGAAATTTGGCATTGTAGAATCAAAATACCAAGACACAGTTTTCCCCTTTTGCATAAATTCTCAAGATGACTGCTACCATGTCCCTCATGCTGGATGGTCTTTTTCCATGTGACCTTGTACTGCCCCATCAAAAATGGGGGTCTCATTCCCCTCTCCTGAATCTGGGCTGGCCTATGACTCACTAAAACAGTGCAGTAGAGGTGATTCAGTGTGACCTCAGAGGCTAGGTCAGAGAGACCATGAAGGTTCCACCTGGTTCTCTTAGGAGGCTTGGCTCTGGGGAACATTCAACTACCTGAGAATCACATTGCGAAGGCCACACACAGGCACTCAGCTGAGCCCAACCTTCCCATTACCCCCACCAAGATGCCCAATATGTGAGTGAGTAAGGCAACTGCCAAGTGGAGCCCCAGCTGTTTAAGTCACCCAGTCATTCAAGTCTTCCCAGTGAAGGCCCAGACGCTGGAGAGTAAAGACAGACACTCCGGATGTGTCTTGTCCAAACTGCTGACCCAAAGAATCCATGATCTTAATAAAATGGTTATTGTTCATGCCACTAAGTTTAAGGCAGTTTGTTATACAGATACAGTTGTCGATGGCCAGAAAGGCATGTTTGGGCCAAAAACAAAACCAAAAATACTAAAAAATCTACAATACTACTGAGTGTAATTTTAGGACTAATTCTTATATTTATCAGCTAGGTAGCCAGATAAATCAGAAGGCTAAAAGGGCCCTTCAGACTTGACCCAACTGAAAGGAAGATCAATCCATTAGCACACAGAGGATGTATGTCCTTAACAAAATGTGACTGTAGCCTATGCACATCCGGATTGTGAAGGACTGAAAAGAGCTAAGTACCAGGAAAAGGCTCAGCCAGGGAAGGAAGAGCCTTTTATAGCACAGCTATCTCATTCTCCAGCCACTGCCAGGCAACCTACTAAGGAAACTATGAGTCTCCAAGGGGCTCATAAGACAAAGAACACAGGCAAGGGGAGAGGGGGGATAAAGAACACACACGTTGTTCCTTTACCCTTTGAGGTACAGGATGACCACAAAAGAGAGAAGAGAGCCTAAGATATAATTTACCATACAGACCTGAACACCAACGAAGGAAAATCAAGTATTTTAACTATCTTCACCTTTTATCCTTCAAAATTCTTTTGATAATATATTTATATTATAAGTCTCTTCAAGTACTTTGCATCAAAATAGCTCCAACATTCATCATGAACGATTTGGACTTTTCCTCTAACTAAAAAGATGATAGAGTTATATGAAGTGCCTTCATTTGATGCCATAATATCCCTGACTCTTTATATAGATGGTATTAATTTTCTTCTTTTAGACTGGATGCTCTTGGTGGTAAATTATTCCTGGAGTTTTGGTAGTAACACATTTTGAATGCCAAGCTTCAGAACGTATTTTTCCATCAGAAATAGTGCCAGGAGAGATTACGTCCCTCTTGACCATTTCCCCACACCACAAACCATTTTATTTCCCTTCTTCAATGCTTTAGGAAAGATACTTTCAGCGGATTCGTTTACTACAGAAACCCATTAGCTTCAGCAAAACCTGTAACAGTAAGGAATATTACATTTTCTTAATCAAAAGAATTGAGAAACAACTAGCTCAAAAGCAAAGCATTTCGTTGTTGTTTTAAAAAGCTGAGTAATCTTTCATTCCATATGCCACATCCTTCCTCAAATTTGTCTATTCCCTAGTATGGCAGGCCTAGACAAATTTGAGGAAGGATATGGCATATGGAATGAAAGCAAAAAGCAGCAAAAACAACAAAAAAACCTTTCAGTCAGATCAAAACACAATGCTTTTCAAGATTATATGCCCTTTCTAAGCATGCTCTGATTTAATTAATTAAAAATAATGAAATATGTACTGAAAATTTCAGAGATTCTAACAGTAAATACACGCTGACTTAATGTTAGGTTTTAGCTATATTAGCATAAAATGAATGTGTGGAGGTTAATACTGAGAACTCTCACCTTAAAACTAAAAAAGGCAAGGTAAGAAAAAATGTAAAGATTTCAATGAGGTCTTAAGCAACTTCTAGGTCTTAAATCAAAAGCAAAAACCTCACAGAGAAAAGAATTTTCACTAATGTTATGCATTGTTTGGTTTATGTCAATTTTTCTTTACCACATTATAAAAGATGTTTTCATTGATTCATTCTAATATCTATTAATACAGCTTTGTATACAGATGAAATCTTTGTTTCTTACATTGGAAGTATTACTTAAAATTTTAAGTGAGGGGCGCCTGGGTGGCTCAGTCGGTTAGGCAGCTGCCTTCGGCTCAGGTCATGATCCCAGGGTCCTGGGATCGAGTCCCATGTCAGCCTGTCTGCTCAGCGGAGAGCCTGCTTCTCCCTCTCCCTCTGCCTGCTGCTCTGCCTACTTGTGCTCTCTCTCTGTTAAATAAATAAATAAAATCTTCAAAAAGAAAAATGTTAAAAAAATAAATAAAATTTTAAGTGATATTTTATGAATCTATCTTTAAATTAAACCACACAGGGGCGCCTGGGTGGCTCTGTCGTTAAGCGTCTGCCTTCGGCTCAGGTCGTGATCCCGGGGTCCTGGGATCCAGCCCCGCGTTGGGCTCCCTGCTCGGCGGGAAGCCTGCTTCTCCCTCTTCCACTCCCCCTGCTTGTGTTCCCTCTCTCACTGTCTCTCTCTGTCAAATAAATAAAATAAAATCTTAAAAAAAAAATAAATTAAACCACACATTCTCTTCAAATCCCAAAACAAGAAGACTCTCTAACAAACTCTATAAGAATTTTTAATCATTCACTTCTATTATAATGTAATTTCACGAAACCAAGATTTACTGAACTGTATTAGAAAAAAAAGATATTTTATTTTTAATACCACAAATTCTAGACCAGTAAAATTGTACCACCAAGAGAAAAAAACTTGAAAATTCAAATTAAATTTATCTTGGAAGTACACTAATACACTAATTAATAGGCTCACAATTAAATTCAACATACTAAAATTAATGATGGGTGAACTTAAGGAATATATCCTTTGAAAACCCATCCTTCTCCTCTATAATATTAGTGTTTAAGAAAATTTAATTGAACTAGTATGCTTCTCCCTAGTTTCTCCCCTCACTGTTATATATATTTCTCCATATACATACACAAAATGCACTTTATTATCCTCATGAAAACTTTATAGACTATATTAAGATCTATATTAGAGTTACCTTAATTTTCTCTCCAACTACTTTCTCCCAAACTCAAAACTAAAACAAAAAACTTCTCATAAATAATGTGTACACCAAAATTTCCACATTAAGGAACACCTGGCTGGCTTAGTCAGTAGAGCATGTTGACTCTTGACCTCGGGGTCATGAGTTCAAGTCCCATGTTGGGTTCTAGTAGAGCTTACTTTAAAAAAATAAACGAATAAATAGATAAATTTTAAAATTCCACATTAAAATTCGAGCATTCTATTCAAAATTATTATGAGTTTTGTTTTGTTTTTTAGCAATGTAATCATGAAAATGACTTTGTAAAAGCTTAATTATATATGTACAAATATATTTATAATATTCCTATTCTATAAGTAATTGGATTTAATTTCATGTTCTCAAAGCAAAGTCACTTTACATTTCTCAAAATCTTTGACTAAATTTTAACATTCATCTTCCTTATAGCAAAATCTAAAATGATATTAATTAAATATAGCAGAAAGCAGTAAAGCATTAAAATATTAATTTGTTTACTAATCATAACAGAATTTCAGCAATAATCTGATAATATGATTTTTAAAGATTTACTTATTTTTTATTTATTTATCTTACAGAGTGAGAGGGAGCACAGGGGGAGGCTGAGGGAGAGAGAGAATCTCAAGCAGACTCCATGCTGAGCATAGAGCCTGAGGGGTCGATCCCATGATCCTGAGATCATGACCTGAGTTGAAATCAAGAGTCGGAGGCTTAACTGACTGAGCCACCCAGGCGCCCCTATTTATTTATTTGAGAGAGAGAGAGAGAGAGAGAGCATGAGTGGGAGGGGTAGAGGGAGAGGGAGAGAGAATCTCAAGCAGACTCCACGCTGAGTGTGGAGCCGAACATGGAGCTCGATTTCACGACACCAAGATCACGACGGAGCCAAAACCAAGAACCAGATGCTTCCACCCAAGTAGCCCAAATCTGATAACATGATTAAGAAAAATTCTACATCACATTCCATACGAGGCAGTCATCCTATTTCCTCAGTAAAGACATTCAGTAGCCCACAGAAGAATCTTAGAAGCTAAAGAATATAGCATACCCCTACAATCAAAATTTCAATTAATGAGTGAGGAGTGACCTCCTAGAAGGGCTGGGCATGCTACGCAAAGGACAGGAAGTACATTTCTGGAGTAGGACACAGCATATAAAACCAGAGGGATGAGAGGGATGGTAAGGCTGAGAGGCCCAAGCTGGCTAGAACGGGGGGTTGATGAGAAGCAGGAAAGGATTCTGGAAAGACATCAAGGACAGATGGGAGATAGTGTGAAAACCAAGATGAAGGTCAGGGCTCCCGCCTAAAAGCAAAGAAATCATGGAACTGTTGAGTGAAAAAATTTTCAAAGTAGCGTTATAGGGGTATTCATCTGAAAACTATCAGAAAAGGGATGGAGGGAAAGGAAGAGGATGGGGAAAGGAGATTAATTATTAGTGTTCCAAGCGTATGGTGCCAGGAGCTGGTACCAACATCGCACAGAACAGGGCCGATGTGGGGAACAATGAGAACACAGTCAGCTGGTAGGAGGAAGCCATCTTCCAGCACCAACATCTCAAGAAGGGCTTTGTTTGTTTGGGTGGTCGATTTGGTTTGGTGAGCAAGGACCACCTTTATGCATCTAACTAAGATCCACGTACAGTCATTAGTTATTCAGTATTATATGTTAATATTTTTTAAGTAAAGAAAGCAGAATAACTCAGCACCTGGTCTCACAGTTAGGAGCCCACAAATCTATTTTTGGCAGTTTTGAGCAATGTTGCTCATCACCTTATACAACCAAATGGGTCTCAGTTTCCTTCAAAGAAAAATGGTAGAGCAAACCGTTACAACTCATGAAGTCTTGGGTGGGGGGCGGGGGGAGAGACAAACAAAATGCCTGGGAATAAAATTTATACATAAACGTGAAACCAAGGGCGCCTGGGTGGCTCAGTCGTTAAGTGTCTGCCTTCAGCCCAGGTCATGATGCCAGGGTCCTGGGATCGAGCCCCACATTGGGCTCCCTGCTCGGCGGGAAGCCTGCTTCTCCCTCTCCCACTCCCCCTGCTTGTGGTCCCTCTCTCGCTGTGTCTCTCTCTGTCAAATCAATTAATAAAATCTTTATAAAAAAATATTTTAAAAAATAGTAATAAACGTGAAACCACTAGCAAGTAATATTTCCTGAATGATGCCAGATGACCCTCAATTTTACCAAACTGGCTGTATTTTGTGTTTTCAGTGAGGGCACTGATGTCCGAATACATTAAATTCACCATTTTACCTACCTGTGTTCATCCTTCCATAACTGTTTTTTGCTTCTAAGGTTGAAGATCAATCACAATTGTGATACAATTTTGAAGCACAATATGACTATTTTCAAAAATTGACAAGCAAAATATTTCCATAAAATCAAATCTAAATCAAATATATAAAACAAAACTAATATAACAGTTGCACTAAACCACTTAGCTGGTTGTCTATGAGGCAAGACATCCATATACTACCTATGAAAACAAAGAGACATAGATATGATAATCTTCATTTTGCATGAAAATTGATTGTAAGGAACATCTAACAGTCAATGGAGATAGTTCTAACAACCCCTTGTCCACACAAGCTACGTACGACTGTATGAACTCTGAGAATCCAGCACCTATAAATAACAAAAGTGAAGCTTATACATTATCAGCTAGTTGGGGAAAAGCTTCTGACTGAACTCCAGTTTCTTCAAGACCTGGGTTTTTTCAAAAGAGAACACAGTCTACTTTGTGAATTAGATTTAAATTTCTTAGAACTAGGGAGACAAATTAAATGAATTCTAAAGATACCCTGAAATATTCTTTTTCTGCTCCTCAGTGTTGAATGGTCTCTCTACTCTCCCATTAAGCTAAGACATTTTTAAACATGCAAATATAAAATTAAAAATGTATTAATGCAAAATAATAGTGAAGACTCTGGAACCTGACAGAACTGTTCAAATCAGAGCTGTACCCATTACTAACTCTCTAATGGGGATAATGCCTCCAACACACTCTCAGTTTCTACATGTATTTCAAAGACAGGACCAGAAGCACTTGTTGATAGGTTGGATGGTGTGTGAGAGAAAGAGAAGAGTCAAAGGGACTGCTAGGCCTGAACAACTAGGAAGAGTGCCAGGCAACGGAGACAGGAAAGGCTGCAGATAGAGAGGAAAAAGGAGAACTGCATTCGAGACCTGGTAAGAGAAGTCCAGGAGGCAGGTGGATATAGGAGCCTAGAGTGCAGACGAGATACTGGGCTGGAGATATAAATTTGGGAGTGGCTGACATACAGATGGCACTTAAAGCCATGAGACAAGATGAAATCACCCAAGGAGTATAAACAGATGGAAAAGAACAGATAGAAAAGGAAGGAGATCACTACAGCATTGAGGTCAAAGAGAAGGAGGATCAGCAAAGGGAAAAGACAGATGAGTGAGATAGGAGGAATGTGGGAGAGGAGGGAGCCATGAAGACCTGTGAAGTAAGTAGATAGAGATGAGAGACGATCGGCCATGCCCTGTGTTGCTGATGGAGAAAGGGAAGGGAGAACTGAGAACTGAATGATGGGTTTAAGGACTTGGTGACCTTGACAAGAGCAGCTCTTCTCAACAGTGAGGGGAAGAACATGAATGGAGTGGGTTTAAGAAAAAATAAGAGCAAGGAATTGGAGACAGTGAGCACAGACAATTCTTCAAGTTGTTTTGCTGCAGAGGGAGACAAAGAGATTGGGCAAGCAGGGAAGTGGCATCAAGAGAACATGGAAGGGGGCGCCTGGGTGGCTCAGTTGGCTAAGCGACTGCCTTCGGCTCAGGTCATGATCCTGGAGTCCCAGGATCGAGTCCCACATCGGGCTCCCTGCTCGGCGGGGAGTCTGCTTCTCCCTCTGACCCTCCCCCCTCTCATGTGCTATCTCTCATTCTCTCTCTCAAATAAATAAATAAAATCTTTAAAAAAAAGAGAGAGAGAACATGGAAGAAATATCAGAATGTTCTCTGCTGATGGGAATGATCAAATAGAGAGTAAAAACAAACCACAGGAGAGAGGAGGAAAATGCTGTATGAATGAGCTGAGTGGGTAAGGGGGGGTGGCAGTGGAGATCTTGCATCTGAACTGGAGACTGGTTTGGGGAAGACCTAGACTAGTTCACCTTAGTCACATGAGGGAGACAAGAATGTGTTGATGCAGTGCTGATAAATGGGTGCACAGGGACTGGGCCACGACCAAATAGCAATAATGGTAATCATTCAGACCAATTCTATTGTTTCTTGGGGGTGGGAAAGGAAGACCCCATAATGAGGAAGAAACCATTCTAAATTTTATTTTTTTCATCCTAAATTTTATATTTCCTAATTATCTATAAGAAACAGCTATTAATCCAATGTAGGCTGTGTTAAACCAAAAGGCAGTTATTTTTGATATATTCCCATCTTTTGTTAAATAAGAGTGGGGACTCCAAAGCAATATTAAATACGTTGTAGAGTACAAAAGAAGTTACAGAATAGAAAAGAAGAGTTATAGCGTGCAAATTTCAACCCCAGGGCACATAAAATTCCTTGTTCCTAATCCTCTTCATTAGTCATTGTCTGCTTAGTGTACCTTAACTCAATGATCCCAAAGGATATTGAATAAACAGTAACAGTAAGAATAGGAAAAATGATATATAGAACTATTGTGAGCTTTGGTGGACCAAACCCTGTGCTAAATGCTCTAATATACCCATTCTCAACAAATCAGTATGGGAGACCACTGAAGGAAGCACTGTTATTACTCCTTTTTCATAGATGAGGAAGCTACAGCATAGAGAAGTTATATAACTTGCCCAACAGTAAGTGGCTGCTAGAATTTAAACCCAGGTCCTTGCTGACCTCTGTGTTAAGAGTGTACATTTTAAGCTATCACCTCAAGAACTCAGCTCAAGGGGCACCTGAGTGGCTCAGTCGTTAAGCGTCTGCCTTCGGCTCAGGTCATGATCCCAGGGTCCTGGGATGGAGCCCCACATTGGGCTCCCTGCTCCGCAGGAAGCCTGCTTCTCCCTCTCCCACTCCCCCACCTGTGTTCCCTTTCTCCCCGTGTCTCTCTCTGTCAAATAAATAAATAAAATCTTAAAAAAAAAAAAAAAACACTCAGCTCAGGAGCATCAATTTGGATAACAATTGTTTAAATTTATTAGACAAAAATATGAAAAGATCTCTTCAGTTGGTAAAATATTTCTACCTTCACCCAAGATCAGTAGGTGGATAACCCAAGCTCTTCTAGATTACTCCTGGGACTCAGTGATAATGACAGTCTGCCCTCTGGGATGTCATTATAGGTACTAACATTACTTATATAATTACTAACATTACTTTTATAATATAATTAAAGGAAAAATATAAAGAAGACTGACACATACTTTGTTCCAAACTATCTAGTTAACTCAGATGCCACAAGGCTTATCAGACATTACCATAATTTTTCAATTCAGATAATAAATTGATACACTATATATTTCCAATAGTCTCTGCTACCATCACATTTTTATTAATTTCATCTTCATCTGAATAAAAAGCGATTTTAAATCCCAGGATCAAAAATGTATAATAAACCACAACCTGGGATGCAGCCTCAGTCCCCATCATCTCTTCCCAGGGCTGCCTGCCTCCAAGACAACCAAGTTGATCACTCCACCAACAAGCTGTGCTATGGTTTTCTTTATGGGTCTTTGGTCATGCTGTTTCCTTTGCCTGGAAGTTCTCCACCAAGTAGTGGGTGCCATTGGTGCCCTACCCAAATCCCCCAATTGCTCTGAGTAGTGGCTACTAACAGCTCTCCACTAACCATGGGGTGTTATGTCCCAGGCAATGACTGACTGACATGGGGAAAATTAAAACTTAAGAGACACATCAAAAGAACTGCAATATGTGGGACCTATCTGGACCCTAAATTAAACAAACTATATATATGACAACAGACAAATACTTAAGTTTCCCTTCAATTTGCTTAAAGATTATTTGGAGTAAAATACTGGAATTAATAGAAAGCACTAGAATAAAAAATGTAGAGAAGATTCATTAAATGTTTTGAAATAAACTAAACTGAAATAAAGTGAATTGATAGTTCTTTCATGCAGTCATTCTGTAAGTAGGTAAAGAAAACAGCCAAATCCCACCTGAAGGGCATGACTCAAAATACTACATTTATACTCCTGCTATTCTGTAAGTCAGTACAAAAGCAGTCACTAATTCTTATGAAGGTTGTGTTTTACATATACGGCCTCAATTAATTCTCACAAAAACCCAGTGAGGTCGATCCCATTATTATACCCATTTTAGAGATGAGGAAACTAATGCTAATAGGTGATCCCAGCCTAGATTCATAGCAAACCAGCTGACTCCAAAGCCTACACAACATACCAATCCTTCCAAAGCAGTGCTCTGTGGAACTGGCATCATCAGTGCCCTAATGCCTTACTGCGGAGTTAATAAAGCAACACCATTTGGGCAAAACATCATGATAGTAGTACATGCTTCAAGCTCCTGACCAATAGAACGTGTGGCTAATCCACCAGCAGTATCACCGGGCTGCCTATCTGGGAGTCATGGCTTTGCACCACGCTGTGCACTTCTCCAGCATTCTCATAATCCATCACACAAATGACAGGCTCTGGTTAATACTCAGTCCTAGGAAGTTGTGCCTTTCCTAGGTGATAAATCTAAACTCATACTATAGGCCCTTTCAAATACAATGACCAAATAAGTAGCTATCTTTTCAGACATGCTGGCATGAAAGACACAGGAAAACTTAGTTATAAACTAACAAATGTCTAAACCATAATCATTACTGAAACCTACAATTTCAAAATTCCCTTTCATGAAACAGAGCTTAAATATATAAATAAAAAGAAAGATGATAAGGAACCAAAAACTAAACTAACATGGCCAAACTCATTTTCAGATAACAGCATGTGAAAATAATTTATCTGAGCTGCCGAAGAAAGGAAGCAGGAATCAGAAGTTAAAAGGATGATCTCTTTCTTCAACTCTGCAACAGGGGAAAAAAAATTAAAAAACACCCTGCAAGGCACCATCAACAGTCCCCAAGCCTGCAAACACATGGCTGTGTGTTTGCCTGGGTGGAGCAGAGAGTAAATAAACACAGTTTCTATTTTTAGCATGCTTTCCCTGGCCACTCTGAAATTTCCAAGTCACAAATTATTGCCTGTTATCTCTTAAAGTAGATTTTTACTCAAAGAAGTCATAAAAGACTCAGGTCAGGAAATGACTATATAAGTTCCTATGTAAAACTAATTCATTTTAGAAAATAATTTATTATGTAAAGGCTATGATATATTCACATAAACAAACCAGAAAGAATGCTTAAAATATTTCCATTGTGTATATTCAAAAGAGTACATATTCTCCACTGCAGAATACAAATTGCTGGTGTTAAGAGGGTAAATTTTTCATTTTAAAACAGAAATTTTGTTAGAATTTTAAAAACGAACCTCTTTACAAAAATTGACAATACAATAAAATCTAAATTGAAGAGACAATTTACATATTAACCAATGCAAAATTCTCTCCAAAATTTAAATTCACGGTATGCTCAAAAATTCAACTTTACTCAAGAATAATAGATTGGAAATAAAAAGAACATAGCTATTTGCATATTCTACTTCTTCACACATTTTAGAAAGAAAATCGGGATCATCTGTACACTTCAGGCAAGGCCAAGTTATCCATTGGACAGTAGGCATAATGCTTAAGGCTCACAATATTTTTTAGTGGCCCACAAAAATGTTTGAATTTCTTTTAAAATCAGAAGAAGAGAACCATCACGTTGAATGTTTTACTATATAATATTAATAAATTTGTCTTTATGTCAGCATAGTTGCAATAATTTCATTTTTTTTTTAAATGGAGTTAGGAGACCACAAAGAGCAAAGGGCCTGGGACCATGAAAGTCAGTCTGCAGTCCTGCTACATATATACTTAACCCTTGAGAAACACAGGTTTGAACTGCACGGGTCCACTTATATGCAGATTTATTTCTTCCGATAAATACAATACAGTACTGTAAATGTATTTTCTCTTCCTTATGATTTTCTTAACATTTTCTTTTCTCTAGCTTACTTTATTGTAAGAATACAGTATAGAATACATATAATATACAAAATACGTGTTAATCAACTATGATATCAGTGAGGCTTCTGATCAACAGCAGGCTGTGAGTAGTTAAGTTTTGGGGGGATTCAAAAGTTATACATGGATTTTTGACTGCACTGGACTCGGCACCCCTAACCCCTGCCTTGTTCAAGGGTCAACTATAAGTCCTTCCTGTCACAGGAGCCTTTCTGTAAAGATCCAGATGATGCTTATCAAAGCGGAGGATGGTTAGTGGTGCCTTGGCTGGGCCTAAAGAGTGATGGGCACCTGTCAGCAATTACTCCTCCATTTCTGGGGACCCATTCCCATCAGCTGCTTCCTCCAGTTGCCCCAAAGATGGGACACCGAACTAAAAGGCTGCCTGTATATTGTCAATATTCTGAGGAGGCTTAAACAGTAAGCTGGGGCTGCTACCACAGCACAGTTTTGCTCTGAATCAATTGTTTGGTTGCTTTCTAAATTTCAGATGCCTCTGGAAATCTGACAAAAACTTCTCAGAAACATATGCACAAGGCCACAAAATTTTGCATGCAATTAATTTTATCCTTAGAAATTCATTTCTTGCACACAGAAGATTTAAACATTTTGGAAATACTAATACTCTCTCATTTGAAATACAAAAATGAACTGGCTGCTCCTGAAAAAAAAAAAATAGAAGAAATCTACATTGTACC